ATCAATAATAAATATTGCACTGAGTTATTGAAAAAGAACCATCAATAATAAATATTGCACTGAGTTATTGAAAACAAAACATTAAATTCAAGACAAAACTAAACTAAGGTGCATGTATTGTCCATGTCCATCATGGGGGGTGGTTTTAGTGTTTGTGTGTGTGTGTGTGTGTGGTGGTGGTGGGGGGGGCGGTTGGAGGGGTGTTATGTGGCGTTAAGCAGTCTATTGGCCAGGGGGAAGACACTGTTCAGTAGTCTGGGCGTTCTGCAGAAGATGCTGCGGAACCTTCTGCCGGATGCCAGTGGGGAAAACAGTCCATGGTTTGGGTGGGTGGGGTCGGAGAGGATCTGGTGAGCCCGGGATAGGCAGCGCCTGTCCGCGATGTTCTTGATGCAGGGGAGCGGGGCCCCCGTGATCTTCTCCCCTGTCCTCACCACCCGCTGTAGAGACTTCCAGTCAGAGGCCCTGCAGCTCCCAGACTAGATGGAGATGTAGCTGGTCAGCAGGCTCTTGATTTTCCCTCTGTAGAAGGTCTTAAATTTAATACATTTAAGCAAAAAGCATTGTTAACACTGTGAGAATGTGATTTAGAAATAGCATACCAGCTTCTTTAGAAAAATATAGGATTAAAACCATTTTTATCTTTTGCTTGGTGATTTTTTTAAATGCATGGAAAAGAAGAGGAGAACAATATTGGCTCAAAGGAAATTCTTTTGATAGGTTCCAAATTTAATGATAAGAAACAAACTTTTAGAATAAATTTGGTGTTTGATCCATTAGCAAAATAATAGATATCATGCAGATTATTAAAAAAAAAACTGCTGAAGAATTTCACCAGAAATAAGAATACACTAAGAAACTGCAAACACAAATGCCTGCTAATGAGCTAAGTGTTATGCATTTATAATCGGTGTTTTCTCAGAACTAATGCACATTCTGGTCCACTTTGTTCACGTCCTGTTCGACTCTGCCTGCGATTAGGCCTAAAATAAAGGTCCATTTTTCGCAGTAGTTGATTAAAATGCATTAAGGGTGCTCTCTCTCTCTTTTCTGCGCTGCTCAGCTCAGTGTGTTTGTCTAAGTGGGTTGGTTAAAAGGCAGCGTTAAGCCCTTCTCTTCTGATTACAGCAGAAATTAGCATCACTGTGGGGAAAGTAAAACACAAAACCCAGAGAAAAACAGCTTTAGGGGCATTGGGAGGGATGAGATACAGAGAAAGCTCAAGAACGGAGATGATGAAAAACTGCATAAGCGGAAGAAATGAGTGATAAAAGTCAGCTAAAATTCTGTGTGGAAGTTAGGGTATGTATGTGTGTATGTATGAGCACTGTAAGGAGTGTCTTTGTGTGTCGATGGATTCTTTAACATCGAACTGTGTGTGTTTGTTTTTCTGTTATTCAAATTTCCCCCCCTCAGATACAAGTTGCTCAGACGTAAAACCCACCAACCCCTGGCCGTCACCATGGTTCCCACATTAACAGCCACTTCCCCACCCCCCTCTGAAGATCTCCATCGCTGGTTCCATGTTTACTCCGGCACCAAATTGTTCTATGAAGATAAAGGCCTAAGCAGGTGAGATTACTGGAATGAGCTCTACAGCAAATGGCAGTGCTGCAGCAAACAGTGTGTGCAGAGCTGATCGGAGAGTAACGGCTGATGTCGATCTTTTAATACCGTTCAAAGATACATTAAGCAAATATCCCAAAGAATTAATTTCTTTTTGTTTCACAGTGTCCTTTAATCTCAGTCCACCACATGGTTGGAGCTTTTTTACTTTATCTTTTCTGAACTGCTCTGAGTCCTATGTGCCTGTTTTTAAATCAGCTGACCGTCTTTCAGGTGTATCAGCTTTTCCCAGAATGCACTGCGCTTAACTTTTTTTCACACATTTGCTACATTGTTAGAAGAACTACCGATTTTGCTTCTATTCTCTCTTTAATGTACATTTTGTGTAATTTTATATGCATGGCTTAAATCATACTTTTTGTCTTTCTGCAAACGTTTCTGAAACCAGGCATACACTGTACGATTTTTGCCCTTTTCGGGCCAATTTTCCAGCCGTGCAAGAGTTTTTCGATCGGGCTTCATCGTGTAGTGTACAGGGGGTAACGAGGGGCGACCACCTCCCAGTCAGGAATCATAAGGTTGGGAGAAAATCAAACATGTTTGAAATTCAGTCAGCCGTCGTAAGGTCGCATCAGAGCGTCGCGCCGCAGGGTGTGAGAACATGCATTGTTAGCTGTGAACATTTAAACCCTGCGGTGTCATCATACCGTTTGAGCTGCAGCTATGTGCAACAATTGAAAATATCGCACAGTGTATGCCCGGCTTTAGAAGGGATTTGTATAAATTAGCATGAAAGAACATGTACATGAAGTATTCAGCCCTCTTTACACTTACAAGGTAAATGGAACCTGTAGGCCTTTTTAAAAGGGGAAAGGAAACTTGAATTGTTCGTCTTATTAGCCCCATTTACACTAGCCTTTTGAAATCATGCAGAAATCGGTCTGAGCACGGCAATCGAGATAACTGTTGAGTGTAAATTGCACGCACAACTGAACCGGACTGCACCAGACACAACCAAACTGCGCTAATATGGTACTAGTTCATTAGTAGGCCTTGTCATGGTTCAGTTGAGGCTCGATTCTCAGATAATAAAGAGTGCATGAGCAGACCATGTCATCTCCTAACCGTCAGTTTCCGTAAACATGAAATTTCAGACATTCATATAAATACTAGCTTCTCTACCATGCCACATGATTTCCAGTGATGATTCTGCTTAGCAGTGTGATGAACCTCAACTCCTGTCGTAGTTTCCTGCGTCTGTAAGCCCTGATTATACTGTCGCTTGTCGTATCCAATTCCCAAAAGCCGACTCTGTCAGGTAAATTCACCAAAGAATGCCTTCTTCGACCTGACTCTTTGCAACCCCATGTTGGTTTACTTGTTTCCCTCTAGAAAGCAGTAGTACCGTAGATCGTCACTAGGATGCAAGGACCCGTGCTAGCATGGTGTGTAAAATGGTAATAAGGATCCAAGCTCAAAACGGTTAACTGATCCAAGCTCGGCACGGATCCATTTTAAGAGGGTAGTGTAAATGGGACTATTATTTGCCCTTGTATCCAAACTCTAGCTGCTCACACCGAGCCAGACTCTGTTGTTGGTTTCTTTAAGGCAGTTTTCCCTCTTGGTGTCCCTATATGCAGGCTCAGAATGTGGGATATTTGCAAAGGTAATCCTCACCCTGAACACTGCAAAGCTGCATTGTTAGTGCTGCAAGGAACCGAAATAATTCATTATAGTTTGTACGTACAAATCTATGAAGGACCAACTCTGCCATATTTAAAAATAAATACAGAAATAACAAAAAAAGTGAGACATAAATGTATATAACTCTTAATTAGCTTCTTTATTTATTTGCCTTTGTAATATTTACCTTATTTATTTTTCTGTCCTTTATAATCTTCAACTTTATTTTTTAATTATTTTTTTAAGTATTTATTTATGTGCATGTTATTATATTTTTGTCTGTTTTGTCTGTTTTGT